AAAGGCCTTTTTTGGCGTAGTGAGATAGTTCCACAAGCCTAAATTACCTTGGTTATATCGTAGGAGACTATTAGGTACTTTGGTGTTTGTTCGGTAGTAATTTCAAATACTTACAAAATATGAGTACTATGTAAGTTGTGGGTCCTACAAAATTTGAGAATGCATATTAAGTCCAACGAGCTGAATTAAAGCATACACTAAGACAAGTCGTGCTTTATTGTATGTTTGCAGTCGATTGACATAATTCTGTACCATTTTTTATCATATGGTCATTTTTATTGTTGTTATGTTGCCGTTTAATTTTGTAGATTATTTGTTATATATAAAGAATTGATGTTTTCCCTCTATATAATGCTAATTATTTTGTTATAGTTAATGAACTACATTTCCAAAATATATAACTACTTGAATATAACACTATTTATCATGTTGCTATAGCTAATTAGCTACAATTCTAGAACTAACCATTATCTTTGTAAATATCTTTTATTTTAATATTAGGAGATGTGTTGGTTAAGATTCTTCACATCTTTTAGTCAAATAAATAAGTATTTATCATGTGGTAAATGTAGCATGAATCTTTAATGTACAATTTAGTATCTATTACACGACAAAAAAAAAAATTTGGCTTCAATATTATCTCTTAGTTATGAATAATTATGACGCCCGTCCATTTTTCTTTTCTATTATATCTATATATTTTAAATTTTTAAATTTTATTCAAAGCTTAGTATGATTAAAGATATATAAAGAGAAAATCATGCAAAGGTTTACCTAGTAAAATTGAACAAACTTAATTATATGGTCAAATTTCTGGTAAAACTATCTTTTACACATTAAAATACATAATGGTGAAGAGTATATGTTCTTTATGAAGTAAAAAGCTTCAATATAAACAGAAAACGAACAAGGATCCAACAAGGCAAGCATGAGTAGAATCCAAGCTCAAATTATCGTCCACCAGCCAACATTGCAGTGCTCTATACTTCCATCCAAAGGAACGTGAAGCCAT